CATAAGTTAACAAGTTGTAGTAGCTTAATTCATTCACATTATTGGACTTGTATCCTTATAAATTCCATTGTATATGAAGACTCTATATCATTTTAGTATTGTAAACTTGTAGAGATATAGTCCTTGTGTGTGTGAATCATGGTGTGTGTGCCACTATGGCTTTAGGAATATGGTGGTCATCATTATTATGTTCATGGGGTTCATGATGTTGTAAGTTGTGTATGCACGACATACATAACAAGTTTGAAGGATGGACTTCATCTAAGCATTGAAAATAATGGACATCGCGTCTAGTGGGTGGAAGGTCCCATAGAACATTGGCCAATGGGGTGTGGAAGTGCACCACTTTCGTTTTCATATCTGGGATTTGATTCCGGCATTGTTTTTCATTACATTCCGTCATGGAGTTGCATGTGTGAGTTGCATCATAGTGGGGTCTATGTGCAAATTGTTTGGTAGCTCTTGGAGTGATGTATACCTTGTTATCCTACTAGCTTTGTGGTAGTTATTATTGCAAGTATTCCGTTTGGTTTGTTTTCGCTTTCATTTACAAGTTGACATTACTTTTGAAGTTGTAACTTGTTGAGTTCACTTGTTGTGAATGGTGTATATCATGTTTCAATTGTAGCTTTAGGGTGAACTTTAGCTCCTCATTGAACTTAGACATTAGGTGGCATGATCCGTGTGAATCCGGTTTATATTATACTTGCAAATTCGTTAAAACTTTAGGTTATACGCATATGTTTTTCCTACGAGTAATGTAACTCACCCTAGTTGATTGGGTTATTTTTAGGTAAGGAGACTTTCTTTTGAGATGCACAACATCCCTAGTTCGGCTTGAGACTCATTAGATATCTTTTTGTATAATTTTAATGCATGCAAAATGTTTATCATGCTTATTTTGATGTAGATTTGTAACTATGGACCTTTGGAACATGATTTTTTAGTATTTGTCATGTAATGAGGCTGTAAACCATTGCAGTGCATTTCAATATGTATATTATGTTTGCGGGCATGTTCGCAAACTCACATAACTTTAATTTAGGCCTTGGAGCCATCTTTTGGGAATTTATGCATTTTTTAACTAAAATTATGCATTGGAGCATGCTTCACACATTTTTTTTGATTTCTATAATTGTGGATGCTTGTATGAAGTTTTGGAACGTTTTAAATTATCTTTTGGTACACTTGGGAAACATGTAAAGCATTAGGTTTGGATTGAGCCAAGTTTCCACACTCTGAAGCAGCCTATTTTGTTGTTATCTAGTGCATCGGTCGGCTGACAACTTCTATGAGCTGGCTGATAGCCCTTTTTGGCAATTCCAATGAGTTCACAGTTTTCACAGGCTGTTTCAGCAGGTTAAACCTGGGGGTTTGGCTGGCTGAACATTGATTTTTGGCTAGTTGATCCTTGCCGTTGGCCTGCTGATCCTCCCTGAAGCTTAGCTTTTTTTCAGTTTCTTGGATAGATTTGTTGCACTGACTTTGAACAGCCATATCTCCTTCATTTCTAATCCAAATGGGGTCATTCTTAAGCCTATCTTTTAGGATTTTGAGTCAGCTTTCCAATAGTACTAATTCCATTCTCAGATTCAAATTGCAGTGGGAGTTATTTATGTTTTAGTGAGATAGTATCGGATTTTGCTTAAACTGGGAATGAGCGTTTTGTGAGGTTCCTGACCAAAGCTCTTAGAAATTTTTGGAATGTTGTGAAATGATTTAATTAGGTTGTATATACCTCATTTGACTTGTTCAGAGTCAAAATTCTCTTTTCACTTATGAAATGACCATTTTACCCCTAGGGTTATATTTATTCCGTTTTAAACCCTAGCTTCCGTGTTTGTTCTCTTTTGAGTTCTGTGACTTTGTGGGAAGTCATTTGATGTCTTAGGGGTGATATTTATCTCTAGAGACTTCATTCCTTTATTCACTTTCGCATTTAAGATACGTTATTGGATCAGTTTTGGGTCACTCGTTGACGCATCAGGTTTTGAAAAACTTAGGCCGTCACATTTATAAAAAAACAAGTAAAACTAATCGGCATCAATGGCAGCAATAGCACAAAGGAGAAAATAGGTATTAGAAGAAGAAGGGGAGGATAAGGTGTGGACATGAAAGACTGCATGGTGGTGATGGGTAGCTTAGCTTTGAATGTATTGACCAGAGATTAAGAGAGGTGGAAGATGCTAAGATGAACAGCTAGTTGTGGATGGTGAAGGGTAAGGTTGAGCGGTGGGATATAGGTTATATTGTTAATGGATTTAGAGAGGAGAGATGGTTGTGGGTAGTGGGAGGAGGTGGCAGGAGGAAGCGGCCATGGTGCAGAACGTTTGGTTTCGATTTTTATTATATCCAATTTTAGATTTATTTGGTTTAGCTTATCCCAATTTTATACAAATTGAGGTTTATTTTATTCTTGTCCAAAACAAACATAATTTTACACAAATTGTACAAAAGAGTCATTTTATATGATCTGTATTTATAGTAGTTATTAATTTATTCAACTGAAGTGAGGGTATTATTGTCATTTTATACCACACATTGACCTATTTGCACTAAATTGATAGTATAAGAAGTTTTATACCACACAGGGGTTTTTTTGGCACTTAACCCAATATTCTTAAGAGAAGTGAAAAGTCTTCCGACCTCAATTGCCGACTCCTCCTCCGAATATAACGTGGTTGGGAATGAATCAAAAAGAAAGAAATATTTACGGGAATTTTTTTAAAAATTCCAACGTGATCCAACCACGTTGTATTCGATGAAAGAGTCGACAATTAAGATTGAAAGACCTATTATTTCTCTATTCTTAATGCCGAGAGCTTACTTGCTTGAAGTTGTCACTTGAAAGAAATCAACCACGAGTCTTGTTCGTTAATTACAATCCCAGCCATGGAGACAACCACCATGTGTCAAGGGCCAATCTAAACCTATTGCCTAAACAGGTTTCCTATTACTGACTAGTATCGAGCCTCATGCACCTGATGAGAAAGATGATGAATTTACATGGTGCCAAAGTCCTAGTGTGGTAATCGAGATATATGGGAAAAGATGGTTGAAGCACTTAGACAAGGGTCAATGTTATGTAATGAATTCTTCAAAGCTGATGATAAAATTCTTGTCCTTTTCTTAGTGTTGTTAATTGGATGGGCAATATAACAATTCAGTGTCAACAAACTGGCCTAGAAACCAAGTTGTGTAATCAAGCCAACTCTTTCCACCGCCGGGCAAAGGAGAGAGCGATTAATGGAAATATTCTACTTTACCAAGTCTGTTGGAGTTGTCTCGTGGATCGAAATTTGTTAATAGCTCAAGTTATCAATGGTATCGAATCTTGTTCATGCTCATGTATGATTGTAACAAAAACACAAGGATGAGTTCTTTCCAAGTAGATGGACTGATGTATGACAATTTAATCCTATTTAGTTATTTTTCATTAATTAGGTTGTTTTTTTTTTTTTTTTTTTTTTTTTTATTTTTTATTTTTAGTGAATTCTTAATTTTAAGTAGTTTAATTTTATTTTAGTTTCCTTATAATAAATTTCCTTATATCTTTAGTTTAGTTAAAAATTTGTTTCCTTTTCAGTATTAGGGTTTTTCTTTATTATAAATAAACCTATATTGCAAGAGCAAAAATCAATCAATTTTATCAATTATATTTCAAATTTCTATATGAATTTTAGCCTTGTGGATTTTGCTTCCACTTAATCATGTCAACATACGAAATTCATTTAGAAATTTCGATCGCTTCAATAACCCTTAAACCCTATGTGGAGGGAAAAATCCTTTCGTCAATAGATGCGTGACATGTCAGTGCATAGGATGACCAAGGAGTAAGTTGACTATTCAATCGCCACATGGGTAAAAGCCCAATTTCGGGGCCCAGTGCACCATAGCCACGGTCCGGGCTGGGTAAAAGGACTTGGATGCAGCCGTGACGGCCAACCCAATACGTATGGGCCAGGCCCATCCTCATTGTGTAATCCAATTAGGAAGAGGACTACAAGTAGTGTTCATTGTAATCTTCTTATATTGTCTTCTACCATAAAGAAACAAATACTATATGGTATATTCTTGAGGGACGAAAATGCGAGTCCTTGGTAAATTCTTGTTATAAATAGAGGCGTAGACCTTCCAATAAAGAGAGAAGCAATTCTCCATTCCTCTTGTTCTATTATTCATCTTGTTCTTGAGAGTATTGTAAGGTTCTTTGACATTTACAAGTTGAACGAATTTTTACGCATATACCCTCCAATAGGTTTCACCTGCCCTTCTTAGATTTTCTTGCCCTCTCTTGTAATTTTTATTTTATTTTATTTATGTTAAACACTTATCTTCTATTTAGATAGGTTGAGTGTCCTGCTCCTACTTAATTGCTCTTTTAATTATTTCTTATGACAAGAATGCTCAGCCTACTATTTTGAAGTACAATTGGGCTACATTCTTGATGGTTCTCTTTTAATTACACTAATTTGTTGCAGTAAATATCTAACTTAATGTTTCTGATTGATTATTTATGCACAATATAAGTAAGTAGAGGGTTCTACTTCCTTATTTGTTGCATAAATGACCGATTAAAAGAAGTAGGTCTAAAATGCACTACAACAAATAGGTACAATAATCATTTTCCTTTAATTATTTCTTGTTTACTCTTATGATTTGGTATCTGTCAATTTTATTTCATTACCTTATTGCAGAAGATCTAATTTAGTTGTATGTACTAAAATACCAATAAAATACAATCCAATATAAGGTTTTCTATCTTCATGTTTATGTCTAAAATCTTCTATGTCCATGTCTAATTTAATTTGTGTTGAGAGAGACACTAAAGATATGAAGGGTTTGATGGTGTCCCTTGTATAGTTCAAATCAATAAGTACCCATAACCACCATATACACTCGGAAAACTGCAAATTAAATTGAGTTCACTTTGGTCTCCTTCAAAAAGTATTTCATATCTTTGTTATCCAATTAGGCCATGGGCTTGATAGTCTTTAATTTCAAGTCCCTATTTTCTTTACCACTTGGCTCATGTCAATGCTGCCAGTAACGATACCATAACTAGAATTAGGCAACTCGCTTAGCCTACCATGCTTTGCCTCATAGTAATCCAAGAGCTCAAACCTGCATGGAATTAAACAAAAAGACAATTAATTATTAATAGTATTACAATTAATTAGCTAGCATTGGAAATGCATGTTACACTGTAATAAGTAGAAGATAGAGTTGGAATACATATATTAATGCATTGGAAAATGGCAGTGGTATACCAAATAATTAGCATTGGAAGCAATCAACCACATGGAAACTAGGGAACTTAATTGCGGATATTAATTAACTAACAAAAAATATTAATTATATAATTAAGGACAATGACAAAGTAACCTACCAGTATGCCAAGCACTGAAAGGGTGAATATTTGCCATAAATTTCTTGGATAATAGCTCCAATTGTTTTCTTGTTGCAATTTTTCCTGCCATGGATTTGGACACAATGCCTGATAGTTTCGGAGTCTTTTGGAACTTGTCTATAGTACCCACTGCACATCAGAACATTGGTGCAAGCAAAAGGACCAAACCCTTTCACTTTCATCAAATTTTGCTGCAATTGTAGGTATGGTACAGGTACTGCATTTGTATCATCATGGTTGTCGTAGTCATAGTCGTTGACCAAGTCCTCGGGTTCCTTCAGCTCAAGTTTACCAGACGCAACTCGTTTGGAGAAATTAAGAATGCGAGTTGCTCTATAACCAAGATTGCAACGTTCTTCCAACATCTTCGCATTAAGCTTTGCCAATTCTTGTGGGCTTGGGAAATTTCCTAATAAACCAGCTGCTGCTGCTGCATCTTCATCATCACTTGAATTTTTATAAGTCGCTTGTAATTTTCTCTTTAACCCTTTCCTTCTTCCTATTGAATTTGTAGTTCCTTTCTTTCTTCCTATTAAGACATCATGGCAGATCAGCCCACTGCTTAATTCTAGTTGAAGCTTACAAAGTTCTCGACTCATCTTCAATGTCCTCATCCACCTGATAATTAATATATATATTGCAACATCATCATACATATAAATCAGAAAATTATAAATTATTTATACTTCTCTATGTATTAGTGAACTATTTTTCAAGGCAAAAAAAAAAAAAAGGAAAATAAAAAACAAATTAAATAAAAAAATAGCAAACTCTAATGAAGTACTCCCATTTGCTCTCATGAACCAATATACACAACCAAATTTTCATGCCAATTCTATGGTTTCTATAACAATTTAATCAATGATGTACCACACAAGCAAACGTATATATATATATCATTTAACTGGCATAGAGTATAGCAGAAGTAGACATATATATATATATATATATATATATATATATATGGGTACATGAGTTATATAGGTAGCTTACGTGCAGTTGCAAAGGAGAATTGACTTAATAGCATCTTCAAATAAAGTCGGAGAACGAAAAATTCGTCCAAAACCTCTTTTCTTGGCTTCTGGATGCATACTATGAAATTTCTGCACATCCCTTTCATCTTTGGTAGATATCCTTAGCATGCGTGCCACCTGAATCTGTAAAATAAACAAACAAATAAGTATATATGTACGTGTGAATATATATATATATATACATATATCTATACATGATCGATGAATTTTATTTTAATTAGTAACATAACATATATAAAACCAATTGGTTTTAGTCCAGATTATATGATCTCTTCCTTTGGTTGTGTGAATTATATGTTTATATATATAAACATATATATATATATATATATAGAGAGAGAGAGAGAGAGAGAGAGAGAGAGAGAGATGATATGTGTACAAGAATAGCTTGTTGATCCTGGGAGGAGAGATGATGAACGCCATGGACTCGTACAAGGAGATAGTGATGATGATGATGTGGTTGTTGGATGGAAACAGTGAGAGAAGTGATGGAGTTGGCAAGCCTCAAGGGACGTTCAAGTGTCTTCTTAGATGGAATCCAACGGTTTGGAGCCATCATGAAGAAGCCATGGTTGCACACTGCATTTTCTAGGTTGAAGCTATCCGCACATTCTCCCAGTTCCAATTGCAATTCTACTATTTCCTCATCCACATCCTCATCCTCATCACAACTCCCTTTTAATTCGTCTCTTGATCTTATTTCTTTCATTTTTCCACTTTTCCTCTTTTAATTTCTACTACTACATGACAGCTAGCTAAAGGGAAGTGGCTTAAACCCTATTTATATTACTATTTAGGGTTGGGAAGACTTCATTATAACCCTTATCATTAAATTACCTAAATGCAGGGTGGGACTTGGGCGGGCTGAGCGGGCCAAAGGGTTAGCTCACGCAAAACCTAAGGTTCTAATATCTTAAATCAGGCCAAGCCCAAGCCTAGTGGAACTCATCACAACTTAACTCAGCGCCATACCGTACGGGTTGCACAAGTTTTTCGGGTCATCCCATATTACTAATGAATAAACATTACAGAAACGGAAATTTCAGCAAAACAGAAAAGAAAAGGGAAATGTGAGAATATTAAAAGGGCAGCCACCAAGTAGGGTTTTCTTTGAGACTTTGGTGATTAAAACTTGTGGAATAATAAAAAATTTATTTTAATAGAATTTGGAAAGAATTCAAAATCGACCGATTGCAATTCTACTACTGCACCCTCCTCGTCACAACTTTCTTTTAATTCGTCTCTTGCTCTTCCTTTTTCTTTCATTTTTGTTTTTTCACTTTTTCTCTTTCTGTACCACAGCTAGCTAATGAAAGGGGAGGGGCTTAAACCCCAAAAGGACAGTTAGGGTTAGGAAGACTTCATTAATATAGCCACCATGAAATTAATTAGCTATATAAATTTGCTTCCCAATTATTAAATAAAAATAAAAATTAATTATCGATTTTGTTTTTTTTTTTTGGTTCACTGTCGGTTTGATTAGATGAAAATTAATTAATAGTGAAAAGTAAAATGAATGAGAGGAAAATAAAATTTACAATGGAAGATGAAAGGACCTATTGAGAGAATCAATATATACATCTATCATTTATATATAGCATGCATGCATGCCCATAGGCCAATATGGATGTATGTGGACTAACTCCATCCGAGAATACATAATACTAAAATTGAAATAATAAACTTTGTATTTGTAAATTAAATATTGACCTAAACTAAATATTTAATGTTAATAATAAAAAAGTTTTGATTTATAGTTGGAATGTTGATTTAGTTTTTATTTATTTTTTTATTTTTTATGTACTCATACCCACTTTTGTCGAACCCATGTGGAGGTTGTACATTAGGCTGAAAATCCTTTGATTAAATATTAATTTAGTTACCATGTATATGTTGATTTAGTTACTTAATTAAAGGATTAAGTAAGGTAGGTGATATTGGCAAACTAATTTTCTACATTTGCACTCCTATCAAATTACACTTTTAACTCTAACTTCAAAAGTGAATGATTTTTTTTTTTTTTTTTTTTTTTTTTTTTTTTTTTTTTTTTTTTTGTCAAATTACATAACTACCTTTTCAAATATGGAATAATTTTTTCATCTCCCTATCTCTCTATTCAATTTTTAATGTTTTTGGTCCCATTTGACATGACAAAAAAAAAAAGAAGTTTATCTCTATTAAATAAATTCTCTTTTGATAGAACCTCCCTTCTCAAAAATAATAATAATAATAAATAACAAAGTAATGTTTGTTGAATAAATTATCAACTATGAGAAATTTTCCCACCATTCAAAAGAAGGAAAAATTTATATATAGTGCAATGATATGACAGCACAAATTTTCCTAACATCCACATTTTCAGCCACTTGGCATTTGTCAAGGTAAGGCATAGGCATGAGGGGGCATGTCATGCTTTTGGATCTTTTTCTTACTTACTAAAAATAAGGTGTTTTGCCAAAATGAGGTTATCAACATTTGACAACAATGAGGGTGCTCAGGGGCATTTTCTTAATTTTGGTGAGAATGGAAGTATTAAGGAAAATTATGGATCTTCCCAAAGGCCTTGGAAGACTATTAGTGAAGACGAAACTCAATTTGAATTTTGGGAAATAATTATTTTGCCACTATGACTACTTATACAGAGGTGATGTCTTCGATCTTTTGTTAAAGTAGTGACTTTTAGTTTTGTATATAGAGGTTGGGTATGGAGTTGAAGGTCCTTACCAACACCCATGCCATTCAGCAAGGCTATGATATGCCTTGCATGCAGTACATAGTACTGGGAGCTTGGCTAACATGATTAGGCATGGCTGGAACCACCCCAAGGTGGTGGTACGATGAGGTGGCATTAATTTGGTGGTATGCCAACGAAACCAAGGGTGGGTAGCACGTGAATAAAGTGTGTGCGCACAAACATGTATGCACGTGGGAATTTTGAGCGCAAGCATGTGTGCGCAAAGCCTTGTGCCTGGTGTGGTATTCGTGCACGTATGGGCCCTTGTATGGACTGACTTGGCCTAAGGCAAGTTCTTGCTATGTGGGCATGGCCATGTTGGGTTTTAAAAACCGAATAACAAGTAGAAATCAAAATTGATCATCAATTAAAAGAGAGGTTTTGATCTCATATTTTGAAAGTACAAAGAATTTCTCCCAATTGCAGAGAGAGAAATTTTATACTCCCAATGATTTCTAACCCCTTTTCCCTCTCAATTTTCCTTATTTATAGACGATTACAACCTCCTCTAACCTGGGCCTTGCTTGTTCTCTTTTGCCTGGGCTCAACTTCTCTCATCTTAATACGGGCTTCCAAAATGACTTCATGGATCTGGGCCCATCCAGCGTGGACTTGCTCCATCCTGGCTATCCATACCCGACCGTTCTTAACAATATGGATCATACCAAGCCCGGGTTACTTTGGTGTCCTCATCTGCCCCCAATAATCTCTCCCCTCATTAATGAGGGTGAGATTATTGAAAAGACACAATCTTGGTCTGACGGCTCGGAGTGATGACACGAGGAATCGAACGGCTGGCACAAAAACCCAAACTTCGAGATCTGCAGCGCCACTTTTTGCCGTGACCTTTTGAGTTCCATGTCGTTTTCACTTTTTCTCCTTATAAACCCTGATCTTTCAACTTTTATCTTTCTTTTTCATACCCTCCTTCTACTCTCCGCTGCCTTCCTGCACATTCCAGCGATCCTTCTTCAATTTCTCCTGCGAGTTTTTCCTTTACGATTTTGGCTACTGTGCTGTTGCTGTGTTCATCACAAACTTCCAAGGTCAGTTTTTTTTTTTTTTTTTTTACCTCTCTCTTTGAAAAAGACACCTTTATTGCCTAGGACTCCTCCCCTTCTTTATGGCTCCCCCTAATCTGAACGCCATTCGATCTAAGAATAACATTCCCAATGACGTTTCTCTTAGGGTCTATCCAATAAACTTAGATGGGAGATCTGGTGAGGGTCTCCTTTCTGGGGAAGTTTTATTCTCTGCCGTTCATTTGAACGTCGTTAGGTTCCCCTTACACCCATTCTTTTGTTATGCTTTCAACAAATTGGGGCTCTGCCCTCTACAGGTTAACCCTAACTTCCTTAGGGTAATTTCAGTCTTCCTGCTCTTGAATCGTGACAGGGGTCTCAACCTCGACATCATCGACCTTCTCCTCTACTACCGGATTAATAAAATTACACAAAATGATCTGTACTATCACTTCTTCCCTATTAACAAACGGTCGATCTGCACTGACAAGAACTCATTTGAAAAAGGTTGGAGATAAAACTTGATTGTGGTTAGTGGGAATTGGCGGACTCTGCTCGGCCAATCTTTCTCAATCCCTTTTTCCTTTGGAGCATGCTCTATCTTTGGCTACAAAAAACTGAAAACACATCCTATTGAATGCCATTGTGAAAGCTGCCTTCCCCGTTTTTACACTTTTCTTTGTAGATACCTTCAAATTCCCCATGATGAACTGGTTTATAGCGTCTGCAGGGCTAGGCTAGACATCTTGCAAGAGAGTATGCTGAACAACGTCCCTTCAGCTACTGATTTGCTTACATCTGACAATCTCTCTGACATCTCTCTTTTAGGGTCCACAATGGAGAGCATTCAGATCCCATCTTTTAGTAGGAGGAGGCGTTCTGCTCCCACCCCTTCTAACATTCCTGCTACCACATCATCATTTACACCTACTACCACATAGTCCACCCTTGTTGTCTCTGCCCCATAACAAGTTGTGATTGCTCTAACTATGACTCAAGTCACAAATCGTTCTCTTGTTGAGCCTTCTGAGCTCACTCATGCTGAGAACCCTATTGTGGATCACACTGCTGAAATCCGTCCTGCTGTTCCCATCATTATGCCTTCCAACATCTTGTCTGATACTTCTTTAGAAAGCACTCAAGATGCTGAAAATTCTCAAGACAATGGAGGACCATCTAGTGCTGGTCTGTCAGAAAAAAGTTTGGGAAAAAGGCCAATGCCTAAAGGCGGTCATGACCAGAATGATGTCCCACCAGCCCGGAGGACCAGGATGGCTTCTTTCAGGGTTACTGAACCATTGCCCCCTGCTCGGTTCTTCATTCCAAAAGGCGAATTAGCCAGAACCTCTGGTCCAACTTCATCCGTTCTTCCATGGCGACTGTAATACCCCGTATTTTATTAAAGAGTTTAGTTTATTTAAATTCAATTATGTGTGGATTCCTTTACCTATTATTGTGCATGCTACATTGTTATATTAAGATCATTTAATGGTGCATGTAAATTAATTGTGTATGTTAAAATAGTAAATTTATTCATTTAATTATGCATGTATTATTATTAATAATTTTATTTGTTGGTTATGCTTATATTAATCATTATTAGTTAATTAAAGTATTATATTTGTATTATAAAGTATTATAATGATATAATGTATTCTTATGTAATAATAATAATAATAATAATAGTTTAATAATAATAATAATTATTATAATAATTATAATTGTTTTATTAATAATAATATTAGTAATAATAATATTAGTATTAAATCAATGTAATGATGAAAAATTAAATCTTAGGATAGGATTTACCTTAGGACATCTTGCTTGACTTGGCTTGCTAGCCTTAAAGCCTTATGGTTGGGAATGTGGTTAATTAAATGCAAAAATAGATATTTGTAATATTTATATTATATAATTTGTATATAAATTAGCTAGCCTACCTTAGAAGGAAAG